AGCACATTTGGTCATATACGGCTTTGTTATATCCTCCTGACATACCGTATATCACGGTGAACATGCAACCTGTCTAGAGCGCCTAAACGCGTAAATAGTTTTTTTTACGAAACATAGATATGTCAAGTATATATCCAAAAACGACTTTTTACATTACGATGCCGTGGTATACGGTACCAGTAACATCTCAAGTATATGCGGACATTTCGTTTATGCTGAATTAAAGTTATTAGTGACATTCATCTTCACTTGTCACACGTTTCCCGTGGAGGAACTCTTGATCATCTCGTTTTGCATGGCCATGGCATCAAAGCTCATTTTCAAATTCGCTTCCGACCAAACGCATCTGATCGAAACTTACCAAGACAACATTCGTCATGTCGACTGCTCCGAGAACTGTCAACGCATACGCCGCCTTTGACAGGACCGGCGAGTGCAAACTCTGGCAGTACCAGAGCCGCCCACTTGGTGACGAGGACGTCGAGATCAAGATTTCTCACTGCGGCATCTGCGGCTCTGATCTTCATACTATTGATGGTGGCTGGGGACCTGCCCCGTACCCGTGCGTCGTTGGTCACGAAATCATTGGTGAAGTGACTCTGGCTGGCCCGAATGTGAAGAATCTAGCAGTGGGCGACCGTGTCGGCGTGGGTGCCCAAGTGTGGGCTTGTTTGAACCGCGATTCCAATGACAAGTGCCGGGACTGCGGAGATGGTGAGGATGCTGCGTGTGATCAGGGTGTCTGGACTTACAACGCCACTTATAAGGACGGCGCCAAGTCCTACGGCGGGTACGCCGACTACGTGCGTGTCGACAGCAACTACGCTTTCAAGATCCCCGAGGTTATTCCTTCCGATGTGGCTGCACCTCTGCTCTGTGCTGGTGCTACCGTTTTCACGCCTCTGAAGCAGGAGGGTGTGAAGGCGGGCGACCGTGTCGGCGTCGTTGGCATCGGTGGCCTTGGTCACATCGCCATTCAGTTCATTCGTGCACTGGGGGCCGCTCCTGTTGCCTTTTCGCGTTCTGCAAACAAGGAGAAGGAAATTTTGTCGATGGGTGCCGAGGAGTTCTACAACCTCAGCGACACCGAGCAGCAGAAGAAGGCGGCTGGAAGTGTTGATTTCCTGCTGCTAACCGCTGATGCCAACAATATGCCGTACGATCTGTACCTGAGCCTGGTTCGCAAACGTGGCACACTCATCATGGTTGGTGTTCCAAATGACCAGATAAAGATTTCACCATTTTCCTTGATTCCTCGTGCTGTGCGTGTGCGAGGCAGTGCAATCGGTAGTATCAGGGACATCGAGGGCATGCTGGAGCTCGCGGCGAAGAAGAACGTACGCCCTATCATCCAGAAGCTGCCGATGGCCAAGGTGAACGAAGGGCTGGACATGGTTCGTGAAGGCCGCGTGCGCTACCGCGTCGTTCTGGAGAACTAACGACGTGGACGCTGACAAGATAATGGTTGAGTAGCTTCTGGTGACAAGGTCTAGAGTTGCTTGATCATTTATGAAATGACCACATTTTCGTTGGAATCCTTATACTATGCATGCGGTGCCTTGAAATGTCGGCGCCTTCGGAGTTTATCGTCGTTTTCATAATCGTATTTTATTCTTGGTCGTACCCAACCCTTACTTACTCAAGTAAATCCTGGCTTAGGTTATTTTTTTCCCCACAGATTATTCAAAATAAATTCTGGATCGGTTACCTTAAATAAATACTAATAGATTACCCATATTATATTCTCATAGCTTACCAAATTTATTATACTCGGAACTAAAGGGAGTTTGGGCTGGTAGTGCTGAGTATCTGATCGCCTGCAACTTACACTGAAAACATTTTTTTTTATAGCATAGTGTTTGCCTAACCAGCGGGAAAGGAAAATTGCATAATTTTGGAGACGTATCTCAAGTCATTATTTATTGTGGGTGGTGAAGCCATGCTATTATTTATTATATCACGTCACGAGAATGAACATCATCGGATAATTTATTGCGCATATCGACCCAACAGAAACTGCCATATTCGGATATTCGGAGGCTGGAGGGCCCATTATTGATTTACTTCCACCAGATGATAGGATTATCCAATAAGCCGACAAGTCCAATGCTCCCACTGCATTAGACGTGCCTAGCAAACTGAATTCAAACTTCTGCATTTCCATCGCTGATCGGTGTCAGCGTTTAAGAGGGAAGATGGCGTTTCCTGATTCCAGATCATCGCTATTCTAACTTTTGTGGCGATGGCGGTCAGTCCGTACAGTGGATGTCAGAGCACATTCCGTGTCGAAGCGAGTCTCGTTTTTCGGAATTGTCATCGTGAACTTGTGGGGCGACGCTGTAACCCGACGAACACTGCGATACATGCCGAAAGCGTTCGCCTGAGTTAATTCTTCGTTCACTTTGCTTTTATCCGCCGCACTTCGACTACGGAGGATCAAACAACTTAGCCACATACAAGCCAGCTTTAGCTCCACATTATGGTGAAGATTTCGAGTATCCTTGCTGCAGCAGCTGCCGCCACCTTGATTCTCACAACCTCAGCCAACGCTGTCACCAATGACTTTCCTGTTCTAGGTGGAGACTCTAACGCAGCACGGCACTATCGCTTTCTACGTGCTGTCGTAGCTACCAGCTCCAGCAACGTGTCCAGTCTCATTGATGGCAGTCTGGACAACAGCGATGAAGAAGACGCACTGCATGGCAAGGGCAGTTTGGCTGGACATACTTCTCCTTCAGATGCTGGTCACGACAGTAAATCTCCTTGCAATCACGACGGACACAACAATCCCAAGGATGCCAAGTTGGAGAATAACAATAAGTCTGGTAAGCTCAACTCCACCACCAACAAAACGACTGTCGTATCATCATCTCCCC